ACATAATTATAGAGGAAATGACTTGTCACAAGGTCCCTCCTCGAGAACAGGAAAGACACAAAATATATATATATAACACAGATTAAAAAAAATTCCTGCATTCAACTGTACAATCCTTCCTGGAAATTTTATAGGTAGGCAATTCCTATCCTAATATTGATCTGTGGTTCCAAATGAATGATACCTATTGCAGTAGGGAACTGACACAAAATGATACACACAGCATCTTTGAAAATAAATGTTCTGTTTATTCAACACATTTGAAACTTTTTTCTTATAATTATGCTTACGTAGGTATCACATTAATATTACAATTGTATTTTTAAAGTAACAAGGGGCATTACATAGGCAGGCTAGTGTTTTATTAGATTTTAAATGAATGTGAATATATAATCAAAACACTACTACTACCGTGTGCAGAATATGAGTACAGTGTACAAAGCATAAGCAAAGCATACAGAATAGAATACAGTTTTATACAGAATTTAAAACAATTTCTTGTTCTCAAGATTCCCAGGCGACACTTTTCTGTTAGATATTAAAAATGGCAGATAAGCATGAAGGATCCACTTTACCTTCATCATATTTTACAGAAATTCATTCAAAGTCACCAGTGACACAAGAATGTTCTACTAAAATCTAAAATGTCATTGTTGCTTAGATTGACCCTTTTTTCAGAACATGCATTCACCTCTGAAATTTCTCTATAGATGTGAGACCTGGAGACTTTAACGCAGGCCTTAAAGTAAAAAGAGAGGTGCATTTAATATATCAGGGCTAGTCTTAAAAGTTAAACAAAAATATGTGGTAAAAAGTTACAACATTTACCGTACTTACCTTATCCTTGGTCTTCATCCTTCAAAGAGTGATCACAATCCTTCCAGCAAGATCCAGGAGAATGTTGAATATCCCATATCTTGTTAGATAATGATCTAGTACAGTGAAGGAGCTTCTTCTGAAACTTGAGATTCTCATTATTCCCTTGGATCTAACTGGAAGGATTGTGACATTTCTCCATGCATAGACGGGTGGTAAAAAGGTAAGGTATATATACATATAATATATATTTTTCTTTTTTTTAACGTTAAAGTTGATATTTATGATGGGAGCTTATGTATTAAGAGATCCTTGATTTTTTTTTACTAAAGGGTCCACTTCAATATGATTAGCACAAAGAGCATTTATCGTAATGGCTGTCCTTTATTGTTCATAAATTGTTACCATTGGCACTGTTATAGTATGGTAGGCAAAGGGCATGAACTATACAATCTGCAGCAAAAATTCTGTTTTTTATTAAACATTACTAAGACTGAGCCCCTTAATTACCTCATAACATCTTAGCAATTCTGCTGTTCTCACGTTTCTGCAAATATACCATACAATGCATGTAGGTCTGGCAGTTAGCATCACTTTAAAAAGAAATCACAGTTGACTGGGAATGGCAAAATTAACAGTACAACAAAAAAAGATGTTGTGATAATTGTGAAGACTTTCTTGTATATTTTTCATCTTAGGATCTAGCATTTTCTTTTACACTGAGTTCATTTACTTTTTTGTGAAGTTTATCACAACCTCAGTTCAAATCAATAGATTCTTATTAAAAAGTAAATCAGCTCAACATGTAGAGCACCGATCCTTCAGAGTTCAGTTTTCCTATATTCATTTTTCAAAATGTTTTTTTATTCCTTTGACTACATTTTTCTATTACTTTTGATTCAAATCTAGACCACTATCATCAACTATAAATTTCAATGCAATAAACAATTATATTTACCAGCTATGTTCTGCTAAATCCTTATTTCACAAACAAAATTCAATTTCCCTGTGTTTCTAGGCCATTTACTTTTCCATTGTTTTTCACTCCATACAACATTCATTCATAATAGATAACCAATGGAAAAAGAGTGTTTTCAAAATATATAATGCAACAGAATGATTGTGCATTGTCTGAATTAACTTTTATAAACATTTTAATTTATTGGGGGTTGCCTTTTTTAACAATGTAGATGAAAGGATAAAAAAAAATATTATTTCATTGCTATGAAAATAGGAGCCATTAATAAAGCCACTGAAGGGAAAAAGCAAGGAAAATGAGAGAAAGAGAGAGTGAGAGAGTGAGAGTGTCCAATGTGTTCACCTAGGATGGATCAACTTCTAAAGCAGGAGATACCAATATCAAAATGCAGAGATTGGTGGGGATCAGCAGAGATGCAGTCGAGCTAAGCAGATTGAAGCATGAAAGTGGTTGAAGGCAACAATTCCACTAAACCCAGCCTCCTAGGGCTGTGTACAGCAAAGCAATGCAGGCAAGTATCTGGGACTCTATGAAAACAAATGACATCACAAGCGATGTGCATGAGGGCATGGCTATGTGTTTAAGGGCAGTCCCGTCCCTTTGTCAAGCCTACTGTCATCCTAGAGTAGGAGTTGTTTATATTGTGATGGCTGCTACCATAGTGACAAGGGAAAGCTATAGGACTATATGGCTCAGTGGGGCTGCATAGGAAGTAAAGACTTATTGCACAAAAAAGCTTGATGGTGTATTGAGAATAAAAAATCCATTGTTTCTGGTTGGCAAGAATGTACCCCCCCTCTCACTACAAGGATTTACATAACATGTATGAGCGGTATGATCTGTGGTTGGATATTATGGGCACACAAGAGAGGTCAGAGACACTTTTGTGGTTGGGTATGCATATTATTATTATTATTTTTTTTATTATTATTATTATTATACAGGATTTATATAGTGCCAACAGTTTGCGCAGCACTTTATAAAATGAAGGTAGACATTACAGTTACGACACAATTTGGTACAAGAGGAAACAGAGTGCCCTGCTCATTAGAGCTTACAATCTAGGAGGAAGGGTTGAGTGATACAAAAGGTAATAGCTGTTGGGCATGAGCTGATATTCATATTATATAAATCATTTTAGTTTTATATAATTGGATGGTGGCTACTATCTCCTAGGCTCACTTCTCTTGTGGTATGGCTGATGTGGTGGCGGGTGAAATAGGATAATGTGTATGGGGACCTCCCCCATTTATTTATTTTTTCTGTCCTGTCCTTCCCCTCTCCTCTCTTTGCTTTTCAAACTTTAGAAGCTTTTTTTGATAAATGCTTAAATTGTGTTCAATGCTTTATGTTATGATGTTTATTTAAATTTTTCTTTGCTACCCTTGAACAGTCATATTACTTGTTGTAATAAAAGCATGGATTCTGAGGAAGCAAAATTACTGTGAAACACATTCATCCACAATGCTATACAACAATTACGTGTCTGTTAAACTTACAGTATAGACAATATGGCATCTCCTGGTACTATTCCAGTCACTCCTTAAAGATTAGGAATAATGGTCGAGCAATGACCTGGCTGAGTTATTTGAAGCCTCTTGGGTGTAAGGCACCTGGTCCTGGTCCTGGAGATTTGTTCACATTGGGGTAGATTTACTAAAACTGGTGTGCTCAGAATCTGGTGCAGCTGTGCATGATAGCTAATCAGCTTCTAACTTCAGCTTGTTCATTTATGCTTTGGCAATAGAACCTGGAAGCCGATTGGTTTCTATGCAGAGTTGCACCATATTTTTCACTTTCCAGTTTTAATAAATACCCTCATTGAGTTTCTGAAGTCTTTTAGAGCACTGGCTTCTGTAAGCCACAAGGGCACACTCCTTCCTGTGATGCTAACAATACTGTCTTTTCTATTATATCACTCCTTTTTCCTAGCAAGGTTTGAGGAGAAGAATGCATTTAACACAATTGCCATTTCCCTGTTACTCATAACCCACATCCTTGTTTATCCTTTATGGGACCAACATGCTCTGACTTTTCTTTTTTACTATTGATAAATTTTTGGGGGATTCATTTTACTCTTTGCAACTATGTATCTCTCGCGGTCTATTTTTGCTGCCCTGATCATTCTCTTACATTTCTTATTAAATTATTTGCAGTGTTTAAATGTTGACAATGTCCCCTCAGCCTTATATTTTTTAAAGGGCAGTTTTTTTCTCTTTAACTACTTCCCGTCCACCCACAGCCCTTAAACAGTGGATGAGAAACAGTGCTGATGTCGGTTAGTGTACCTGTACATCAGTCCACATTGGAGTCTCCTGTGCAGCTCCCAGAGCACTCACCTGGGAGCTTGGTTATCCGTATGTCACCCAAACACAGTGGATCACATTCAGGGGTGGACTGACAACTCATGGGGCCCCCAGGAAATAGGAGATCATGGGGCCCCTGTGTCCTCACCTACACCCAAAAATCCTATGAAAAAGCCAATGAAAGGTACCAGGGGCATCTCATGGGGCCCCCTACTGACCCTGGGCCCTCGGGCAGCTCCCGAGTGCTCAAATGGTCAGTCCGCCCCTGATTACATTACCAATGTGTATGGATGTGTTCGACACTTCAGTGGCATCTTTTCTAGTCTTGGAAGTTATCCCTAAGGACCCCAGAGGGGAAAATGGGATACAAAAATCCTACAGAAAGAAACATTATGGATAGAAAGACTCAATGCCACTAAACCTCCAGGACCAAATGAAGAACTGTCTTACAAACCTTTCTTGTGAATAACCTTACCTTTCTATATTGCCCCTTTTCTCTAGAGATGTGAGAATTGTAAAAAGGCCCAAAAGGTTTGAAGAATTGCACTTATATTGTCCATAGTAAGGTATTGTTTTTATAATTGCAAAGTGCCCAGTCCAGAGGAGAGCAAGGAGGAAAGCACAGAGCCAGCTGGAAGATGATTGGATACACTCAGGACAATGAGGACTACTTCCCAGATTGCTTCGCATCCAGCCCCAGCCACATGGTCTTCACTGAACCCCAGACCCAATATGGTGGTCTCAATCTGGTCTCCCTGCAACAGGATGACTTTGAGTCAGTCTGTGTGAAGGAAGAGGTAAAGGGACATGCCACCAACAACCAAACCCCCACTGAGTCCCCAGCATCAAAGAAGAATCTGACGCATAATAAGCAGGTGGCAGTCACTGCACCCACAGTTATGGAAAAAGCCGCTATATCACAGCGCAGGAAGAGGACAGTGTACAGCCAAGAGCAACTGGATGTCTTGGAGGAGTTCTTCCAAAGAAACGTGTACCCAGATATCCACCACCGAGAAGAACTGGCCAAATTAATTTATATTCCTGAGTCCAGGATCCAGGTTTGGTTCCAAAACAGAAGGGGAAAGTCCAGACGTGAAAAGGTCAAATCCACTTATTTTACAAATGCAAGTATGAACTATTCCAACATCCAGCAACCAGAAAATATCTATCCTACAGTATCAACAGCAAAGCATCCAATGACTGCCGGTGAACAACCCCAGGTCATGGTTCCCCAACAACAGCCCATGTTGAATGTACCACAAGATTTGTATAACCAATCTTCAGAGTCTAACTCCTATCCTCATTATTCCTGTCCTGTTCTCCAGGAGAGGTTTATGATGCACCAGGCTTCACCCAAGATGTGGCAGCAACAAAATTCACAATCTAACAACCAACAGCACTTGTACAAAAGCATGGCTCATGTCATGAGCCCCAAGGCAATGGACTTGAGCAGATGATCTTATAGGCTGCCTACAGAGTCTAATTGCATGATGGACTTCAGTAGCTACCCACCCAACAAGACCATCACATGAGAAATGAGTATCAACATCCCACCAATCCCACCATCTACAGCTACAAGGAACCACAGTGAAGTCAATCCTTATACAAGACAAACAACATACTCAATGTCAACCATGCATGATAAATACTGCATTGAAGGTTCTGAGTCCGATTCTGGTGTCAGTGACAGGTCTCCAGATTCTGGCTGTGATCCTAAAAAAAGCCTCCCTTCTGTTCTCTCTAGACTGGAACTCCTGAACACCAACAATTAATTGGGCGGCACAGTGGCTAAGTGGTTAGCACTTCTGCCTGGCAGAACTAGGGTCGCCGGTTAAAATCTCAACCAGAGCACCACCTGCCTGGAGTTTGCATGTTCTCCCTGTGCCTGCGTGGGTTTCCTCCAGGTACTCCAGTTTCCTCCCACACTCCAAAGAGATGCTGATAGGTTAATTGGATCCTGTCTAAATTGGCCCTAGTATGTGTATGTATAAATGTGAGTTAGGGACCTTAGATTGTACACCCCTTGAGGGTTAGGGACTGATGTGAATGTACAATATATAAATGTAAAGCGCTGCGTAAATTGATGGCACTATAGAAGTACCTGAAATAATAATAATTGCATAGATGTATCCTTATCTCCATTGCTATGTATATATATTGTGATTTCTTGCTCCATTGTAATTGTGTACAGCTAAAGGGGAGAAGGGCCTTCTGGATGACCCCATTGGTTGGATGTGTGGCTGCAAAGCCAATATCTCCCCCCCCCACATGTCCACGTTGCTGTCTGTACACAGCCAGGGGGTTGGACAGGTGGCTTTGGAGGGTGTCACCAGAGGGCAGCAGCCAACGGTAGCCCTTTCTTTGCCATGGATGCATGCCAGCTAGCCTAGAGCAATGCTCTGCCCTACATGTACGATAATTGTGGCCAGGTTGGATGATGTCACAAGCAGGCCTGCTTCTAGCCAGGGTACATTTATGCTTGGGAGGCCAGTGGGACAGGATGTAGGGTGGACACACAGGAGGAGGCATAGGAGTAAAGGAGATGGATGTTCCCCAGTGGCAATATAGGGGTAAGTGGCTGTCCATAGATCTATATGATAGGACCTGCTGGGTATTTGAATGGTAACAGTGGTTCATCTGATTATATTTTAGACAGATGTTCATAGTTGCCTTAAAAAGAGAACTTTTTATACCAATTCCAAATGGCCAAACACTGTGCAAACATTATCCGTGTATTATCCGTCTGAAGTGGAAGGATCCTTATACGAGAGATAAGTGCCTATAATATTGACCTTAAAGAGTGGGGCCATAATATATAGAAAGATGGTGAGTGATATATTAAGTATTTAGCCTCCTGTTACTTTGTAATATGGGAAACACAAATAACAACTACAAATGGTTTTCTTCAGCTGTCATGTTATAGGAGGTTTCTATTTTACTTTACGTATCCTTATGATTATACGCTGCTGGAATTAAGCGCCCACATCTTTTTATACAGATCTTGTGTTGATTTTAGAAATATATATACACTTATAATCCTTTAGTGTTGCTTACATTCCCCCACCCACTCCCTTATAGGTGTGCCCCGCACCCATAACTGGGAACACAGTTTACCTCCAGTCTCCCTTCCATGCTATTAGTACACTTTGGTAAACTGTAAGTGTATCATGAACGAAACCAAATGGTTGCTACATATCTGTCTAACTATGTAATATTTGCTGAATCTTTCTATTTTGTATTTGTAGATTGATATTGAGCTCCTGAAGAAGCATTAATATGTGAAAAACATGTCAAACAGTAGCTAGACTGTATAGGTTGCGGCTTTCTCAGACCCTTTGATATATATTATGATCATTCAAGCATCAACAGTGTTGTTATGGTCAGAAAGCTGCATACCAGTAATGGATACAATTTGTGTCTAAACGTATTACGAATCTGTGATTTCAATTTGATGTAATTTTGCTGTGTTTTTATATGTTTCAATTAAAAGTGCATATTTCATCAAATTTGGGTTTGATTGATACCTAAAAATGCCATACTCCCTTATTTTCATTGAAGAGTGATCACATGGTGTCTTTCCATGTGATTGTTGTGTCCAATCACAGCAATCATATAGTAAACATACAAAACTGAAAGTAAATATCAGTTCTCTCTGCTCTCACACAGATCAGCTGTGAGAACACAAAGAACTGTTGTTGCTACAGCCTGTGAGTGTACAATAGCCTGTCAGCAGGGGCGGACTGACAACTCATGGGGCCCCCGGGTAATAGGGGATCATGGGGCCCCTGTGTCCTTGGCCAAACTCAAAAAAGCCTATGAAAAAGTTACCAGGGGCATCTCATGGGGCCTCCTAAGACCACTTACTGTTATCTCACATATATATTCTTATTATTATAGCCACATTTACCACCCTAACTCCTCCCACAGTTTTTACACTACATAGACAGTAATATACCAAAACGTGCGGATTGTTCCCGATTGGTGATCTATTACTTTATCGAACGTTTCGCCGAATGGTTCACAAAATATCGGCATTTTTGTGGTGAAAAAAAATCAGGACATGATTTCTAAACTGCCATCACTCCCTCATTTTCAAGCCTACCTACACAAATCTTATATCAAAACGTTCCGCTATCCCTGCTGTCACTAAAAATGTCCACGGCTAAGCCATAGTCCTGATAGTTTTCACAATATGACCATTTGTTTGCAACTCACGCTGCCCATTGACCTTTTCACAGTTACTCCACCCACTCCAGTTGTAGACTACTGGTGGAGGCAAGAACACTTCACACACAATTTCCCCAGAAATTGTAGCTTTTCTAGTTTATAATGCTGTTCTAAGGTAAAATCTTGACATTTGAAGAACTGCACTTTGGAGGAGTTTCTTGCCCTTTTTTTAGTGTGTCACAGCTTCTTCAGCAGATTTTGGACCTTGCCAGTGATAAAGTTGTCATAATGGGCTATGCCCTTGATTGAAATGTTGGAATTGGTCTAATGTCTGTCCAGCATATATGGTAAAGACTTGTTTAAACCTAATGTTAAAATGTGCTCACAGTACAACTGTGACTGGCACTGGTTTAAATGGTTATTTTGAATTGGTCCATGTTTGAATTTAAATAAAGCTGTGACCTTGCCCTTTTTTTCCAACTAAATTGTTCTACGTGTGTTTTTCTTAGATGTGGGCAAGGTTAAAGGTAATATCAATTGGGATTCAGGCCTATGCTCATCAGTAGTCTTGCAATAGGGCATTGCTTTATTCTTCATAATCAACAACACACCTGTGAACGAGCCCTAATAGAGGATCTTAAAATATCCAAGGATGATATCAGTAGCTTAAAAGTTTCTGTGACAAATACTGATGCTATCCACTAGCAACCTAAAATAGAAAACAAAAGATTACAGAGAGAGGTTAATCAGCTTGTGCAGAGGCTAAAGGATGCAGAGAGTGAAGTTAAATGGCTGTCTGCATCTTCCAGCAAGGAAAAGTTTGTTTATTTTCTAAATACAATAGATAATAATGTGGCTTACAGTACACAGATATTTCAAATTTCAGCAGGAAAGTATCCACATCTACCATATGTGTATGTGCTAGTGTGAATAAATCGCCAGACGGAAAGAGCACTTTCAAAATTGCTCCTATGTCTTGTAAGCAGCCAGAAAATGTTTTGTTAATAAGGTTTTAGCTATTGAATATTCACAGTTTAAAAATAAGTTTGTTGTTAGGAGATGCTTTAACACTTTAGAGAAGATAAAATGTTACATGTGTGGATTATTAGACCGCATTGCAGTATTTTGCTTGCTTGACCTCGTATGGTGAAAATCCAGTGAGACAATTATCAATATATAGTAGAAGTACAAGACACAATTTTGAGATGTACTCCCCATGTTGGGGAACATGGTCTAGGTTTAGTAGATATGAAAAGTCTAGATCTTGAGTCCCAGTACAAACTTTTAAGGCAGAGAATGAATCATTACTGGCTGAGAATAAGCAATTGAAAATGGAACATAATGTGTTTTTGAAAGAGGAATGCTTGTGTATATGTCCCCTTAGGAAACAAACTTTATGGTCAGCACCACTCTCTCTGCTGCCTGACCACGTCTTAGATTGTGTGATAATATTACTGACCCTGCTATTACATATTACGTCATAATCACGTGACATCTTCAGAGCCTTCTTCTAGATTAGTGCACAAATACATGTGAGTGTAGTTTTAATAAAGGGAGTTTTAACAGAAAGCACTATGAGTGCAATACTTTTATTTTGAGCAGAAAAAATGGTGGAAAACTAAAAAGGTGGATCCTGGACCTGTTACCCATTAACCACTTGCTGACTGGTGATAGCTGAATGACGGCTTAACCACGGCCGGCCAGTTCTGGGAGGGCGTCATATGACATCCTCCCGTGATCGTGCTTCCCGCACGCCCCTGGCAGTGTGCATCGGGAACTGTAAGTATTGGCTGTGTCCCTCAGACACAACACATCACAAAGAGGGAAGTGATTGGCCAATTACAGCAGCTGTTTACATTTGTGATCACTTGTCATTGGACAGAGCGATTATAAATGTAAATACAGCAGGGTCATGGCTGGGTTTTTTCTCTCCTTTCCTCATAACCAATACCGAGTGTGAGGAAAGGAGAGAGAATCGGTTCCTAAACAGTGAGTGTGCTCATCAGTGCCCTATCTGTGCTCATCAGTGCTCATCTGTGCTCATCAGTGCCTGCCAGTGAGTGCATATCATTGCCCATCAGTGCTCATCGATGCCCATATGTGCCCATCACTGCCAATCTGTGCTCATCAGTGCCCACCAGTGAGTGCCCATCTGTGACTATCAGTGCCCGCTAGTGCTCATCGATGCCCATCAGTGCTCATCGGTGCCCGTCAGTGCCCATCTGCACATATCAGTGCTCATCGGTGCCCACCTGTGCATATCAGTGATCATCAGTGCCCATCTGTCTAC